CTGGGCATTCTGCAAGCTTGGGCAACGGCGTTCCTTTGCTTGTGGGCTTTTACATTCTTAAATAATCCCCTTTGCTTGGGCTTTCATCTTGGATTCCCTATTGGGCTTCGTTCTTTGGGCCATTTAATTTGGGCTGCAGTTTTAGTGTGTCAACAGATACTCTTGAGCGTGGTCACTTTAATATAAGGCTACTTCATTCACTTGGTGTTGCGTCATTAATCAAGGAGGTTCTTTCTTTTCCCATAGCTATTAGACCAGGTAATGACACATTGATATGGTACCCAACTATTGATGATTATTATACAACACGCTCAACATGGTCTCTCATGAGGGTAAAGAGCAGAAGTTTGTTACCTTGGCAATTAATTTGGAATCATGTGCTCCCAACTAAAGTTTCAGCATTCATTTGGAAACTTTGGCATAAAATTGTCCAAGTAGATGAGGTAGTGCAATCATTTCAGATTACCTCACATAGTCATTGTTGTCCCCATGGTAATTTTGAAACCCTTGATCATATGTTTTCAACTAGTCCATTGGCGGTGCAATTATGGTCTTATTTTGGTAGGCATTTTGTTAATTATTGATTTAGGAACTTTAGCTGGCACGAAATGCAAACAGACTTTAACACGAACAAATGTCTTTCCAGAATATTTGCTAAAAAGTTGAATGCTGGCTTATTGAATTATATACTCTTCTGAAACCCAAGTCTGAAACCCAAGAGGTCTACTCCAACCAAGCTCGCTACAACTTTACAGGAACAGGGTATCTCGACTTTTCCAGTACATATAAAAGCACCATTTTTGGTCATATGGTCTCGTCTCCCCGATGTTAGTTTTAAACTTAATATTGATGGAAGCAATAGGGGTAATATGGGGCAGACAGGCTGTGGTGGTGTGCTTCATGATGACCAGGGGTTGGTTGGTTTTGTTTTCATCATCTTGGTGTGGGCTCGAATACTTTTGTTGAGGTGATGGAACTGAGAATGGAACTTGAGTATTATTATATTTTGAATATAGAGGGAGTGGTTATTGAGACAAAATCTTTAGTAGTGACACACTGGTTTAATTCTAATGGCTTTCGTCCTCAGATTTTTCGAAGTATTTGGGATGAAGGTTTTATCTTTGCAGATTACATAAATGTGAAGGTTTGCCATGTTTATAGGTAAATGAACACGGTGGCGGATTTATTGTCTTCCATTGGTGCTAGTGGTATCACGTCATTTTTAGACTCTATAGCTGATTTTCCTTTTAGATATTTAGGTGTGATTTATTCAAACCATTATGGTTATCATTCTTTTCGGTTTTCTAAGCAATTGTAACCACGATTTTTCTCCATCATGAGTGATGGTTTTATTAATAAAGTATATGAAGGTACTACCCTCCTTTCTTAAAAAGTAAAAATAAAAATGCTAGTGGTGCTTTAAAATTCGGGTCCCATCGGAATGAAGTTGAAAATGTTCGTCAAAAATAATAAATTCACTTTTGCACAAGAATTAATAATATTCTCAGGTCTCTCACTAACACCAAATCATTACTATGAGGATGACTTAACACATTATGGAATATTTAGAGCTGGTAGTGAAAAATGAATTTTTTTGAGAATGTATGGTTAAAAGGTAGAAAAAAATGTTATGAATCATATAGAATATGTAGTTGAAAATAACTTTGTGGAAAAAAGATTTTCAAAAAATCTCACCCCCTACAAGCTTTTAACATATTTAGTATGATTGCATAAATAATTTTTTTGGTTGGACAACTATACAAAAATAAACTTCACATTAAAAACAATTTTTCAAAAAAAAAGAAATATTATGCACCAAACAGGAGATTAAAATTAGTTTTTTAGTAGATTTTTATAAAAGTTAATGAAATGTGTAGTTGAAAAATTGTGAACCTATAAATGTATGAAAATTACAGCGCAAAGAAACAACATGTAGACTTCTGATAGGTGCAAGATATGATCACGTAAATTTGTCTGATACCGATTGTTATTGCTGCTTGGCGTTAAAAGTATCATTTTGGGAATGATAATCGTAATGGTGGTTGCATTCGGGTTCTGAAATCGACTACAATTAGTATCTCGTTAGTTGTTTGTTCGCGTTCCGTCACATATGTCCAGCCAGGGGCGAAGTTAGGATTTTTTGTCAAGGTAGGCACAATATATCGACAATACTAAAAATGATATAGTTTATAAATTACACTTGTTCCTTTCGAGTTTTCATACTTTGATACCATTATAAAATAACTTCATTATCGAGCTTCAAA